GGACTTTCTTTTATATATATAGAAGTCAACCTCCAAAGGAGTCTGTGGTTTGTTTATATTGTTCTTTGCTTTGAACATAAACTTATTTTAATTTATAAACCAAATGGAAATAAGATTTACTGAAAGACTGCATAAGTTGGGTTAGTTTTGGGTGCAGATCAAGAGATTTTCAATTTTCTTATTCAGCCAAACTAAGCTGAACCAAGATTCATGTGGGTAGTCATGTTGGTCTGAAGCCACAGAAAAAAGTTTGAGTATTGTGGCCCCATCAAAGGTCAGGAGTAGGATCCCTAACCCCATACCGCCTCAACTCAGGCAGAGGACCTCCGTCTTTGTTGGATTCAATTTCAGTCGGCTCAATCTAAACCAACCAGCTACGGCTTGCAATGCCAGGTCCAGATCTTCTGGACTAGAGTCAGACTGGCAACTCAACAGCAGATAGAGCTGGGTTTCATCCGCATACTGGTGACATCCCAGCCCATGCCTAAACTCTAGTTGGCAGTCCATCTCACATAATGTGAACAGCCAAGTGTGGTTCCTTTGAGATGGTCAGATTAAAACTTGAAGTTTTCATATCTGGTTACTTGAAGAGGACTTTGTGTTTTTGTACTTCAGTAGAACATGAACAGGATAGTGGAATCAGCTTTCACCTAATTGCTCCTATTTCTTCAAGTACTTCCTCCAGATATGATTAATATGAGAGACTGAATCTGATGTTAATCTCAGGTATTTTGGGTATGCTTATACATTTGAGATATTATATAAATTTAAGATTATGGGAAGGTGGGTTATGGCAATGAGCAATGTGCAAAGTCACCAAAGGTTGTCAGGGGAAATACTAAAATGTTTTAGTTAGTTGATTCCTGCTTCCTAGATAGAATCCCACATACTTACCTGTGTGTGTACACATATATATGGATGGATGAGTATGTTCAGGCATGCACACACATACCATTTTGTATTTTCAAACAGTTACAGAACCTTTTGTGAAGCAGAATCGATGGTAAAATTGTTAGCATCATATATGTGGTACAGATTTTTTGCACATTTCTGGTCACTCTATGTCAAAGAGGACATTTTCCCCGTATCCCAGCATCATGGCCCAAGGCAAAATAGCATGACTTAAAACTTAGGGTTGCCAAATGTTCCTTACCTCCTCAGCGGGAGACTCCTGGCGATCTCCTGGTGCATGTGCGCGCTTTGCGCGCGCCATATCTACGCCACCCGGATGTGACTTCCCACCTGGGGGCGGGGCCACAGCCATTTGAGGGGGTTTTCCCCGAGCCCGATTTTTGTCACGTCGAAAATCGGACCGCGAAAGCGGGGGATTTTCCGCCCCCCGGCCCCATTTGGCAACCCTACTTAAACTAGGGTTTCTTAATTACAGTCTGAATTGTGCAAATAATAAAACCCCCTAACTAAACCCATCACTGTGTTTCCCTCTCTGGATCCAGGCTCAATATGACCTTGATCCATGCTTTTATTTTGCTTCCCTGCATCAAAGTTGTACAGAAAGATGTTGCCCATCAAACCCAACCCTCCACATTGAACAGTACAGAGCTGAAGTACAGCATTGAGGAGTTACCCCCTCTATCCTCCTGAGACTTTTCAGCCTCCCTCAATCGTCAGAGGCCTCAGGGCACTCCCCAGTCTAACTAAATAAGCATCAATCCTGCCAACCCCAGTTAAAATCCCGCCAACACATCAGGATTAGGTTTGTTTATATATAACACAACCCCTCAACCACAAATACGATCCTCGGAAGAAAAGTTCAGTTATGTGGGCCAATCGGGCAGGGACCAAAAACACTCCTGCTTGCCCCCAAAGTAACTGGCTAATCTCAGATTGTTACTACAGAGACCAAAAGGTGGATTTAAGTAGACTCTCCTTCCTGGCCAATTCATTGGCTGCACCACTAGGTAGCCATTATTTCTCCTCCATCTCCAGTGTTTGATGCCTTCAAGTCTCTAAGTGGGATGGGAAGACGACTTCCCCTGCTGCTGTTTGAACATGAGCATGCTTTGGGATCTAGGAAAAGGGTTTTTTAAGGGCAGCTAAATTCAGTTGAACAGAACACCTTCCATTCTAAGAAAGGCTGAAGTACTGGGACTTATAGCTTAGAAAAAGATGTCAAAAGAAGGACAAAATACAGGTTTATAAAATTATTCATGGTATGGAGAAAGTGTGTACAGGGAACTATTTTGCTGTCCTCCTTAACAGATGGATCCTTGGCCACACTCTGAATCTGACCACCCAATCTATTTATTGACCATGTCATAACCAACATAAGCAATGGACTTCTGTAAGGTTAATCAATGTAAAAATCTGCACCTAAGAAGTCATAGTCTTCCACTTAACTCATTATTAAACTCCTGCAAAAAGGGTCATTGAGGGTTTATTATTACAATAAAATCACTAGATACTCTTTACCTCTATTTTATATGTATTAACTCATTAACACTGACCAATTTAACACAGTATAGAAATACCAATAGTTAATTCTGCTTAATTAATTACAAGACAAAGAGAGCTTTCTGCATCCAAATATAAGCAAAGTTTTTGATTCAGAATTCTCATATTTGTATGTTTAAAAGACCATGTTATAATAACTGTCAGCACTGCCTAACTGTCTCAATTAATTGAGCTCACATTCTTAAATAATTTATTTTCTTATTGGGATAAAACACCTGTTCTGATAGTCTCAGATAAATCCAATAAATTCATGTATATACATCTTAAACAATTTTTGTTCTCTTTAATCATGAAAATAAATTAAAAATGACTACAAATTCTCCGTGAATATCATATTTCTTGACCATTAACTAATTTATCATTAACTAGTATATCTTTTCTCAGTCCTTGACTGAGCCACAGTCATTATTTTCATGACATTCCTTACACATGGATTCATCTTCCATTTAGCATATTCCCAATATCTATTGATATAAACCCGGTTTGACTTTACTGACTCTACTGTATACCAACCTGAAGCCACTTTCCTTTTTGTCCACCTAAGTATTCACCGAAACTAGGATTTCCCTCTTAATGATGTTACTAGCCATTTGCTGTCTGGCAGCTCTAGGTTAAATCAACAGCAATACCTTTTTGAGTAATCCTGATGTTGAAATGTTATATCTGTGTGTTCTTTCTTGCTGTCCTTGTCCTTCATGTGTTTTTTTTTTTTAAATTTCCGTGGCATCACTGTTGTTTGGAGGGTGTTGGGGTTTTTTTGCCTACAACCTTTGTTTACCTTTAGGGCTTGTCTACTGTCAAGATGTACCATTTTGATTAATTTCATTCCCTGCTCAACGTCTGTTAACTTCAGACTCATCTTTACTTGTTAACCTTTACAGGCTTTTGTTGTGAACGTTTATATGCTTTAACCTTTTCTTTATTGACTATCCCACCATTCCAGTAGAGCATCAGTGATGAGCATTGTATTTTTATTTATGTTTGTCTGGCTTCTCCTGTCATTGCAGCATTATAGCAATAATATAATTTGTGTTGAAATCAACCAGAACCTTTCTATCTAGGGAACTAGTTGACATAGGAAGAGGGAACATACCTTGCATAATCTTCACAGAAATTAACGGGAACAACAAAAAAGCACAAAGGTGTTTTACTCTGCATCCCAATAGAACATACTTGTGAGATGTTCTGAATAAATTGGGGCCATGCTGTTACCTGTGCTGTATCTGTGCTAACTCCGGAAAGCTGTCTGCAAACAAAGAATCAGCCCAAGCAAGTAAATAGGTTGGGGCAAACTAAAAGAATCACATGGCTGGGGAAGAATGATGTCATTATTACGCCTAACATAGGTAGGCCTTAATTGGGAGCTGAATGATCTTAGGGAGAAAAAGGTTAGGTGTTTTAGCTGACATATTATAGCTTTGCAGGAACACAAAAGCAACAGGAGTGCTTTACCTCCTAAGTATGGTAGGATCAACATATAGGATACCCTAACTCTAATACAGTATATTTTATAGTTCAACACTGCAGGCAATATGCCCACATTGCCAGTTATCATTACCAGAGCAGCCCAACATATTCCCATTTCAAGCTGGGAAATCCATGGGTTAAACAGGTTTGTTCTGCTGTTGGTACACCAAGCAGGCACTAAAGAAACTCTTGCTTGGGTTTCAGGGAAGTTGGCAGCAGTAGCAATAAGGTTGCCAACTCCAAATTGGGCAATTCCTAGAGATTTGGGAGTAGAGCCCAGGAAGGGGCCTCAGTGGGGTCTAATGGCATATAGTCTACCTTCCAAAGCAAACATTTTCTCAAGAGGAACAGATTTCTCTGGCCTGGAAATAAGTTATAATTCCAGGAACGCTCCAGGCCCCACCTGGAGGTTGGAAACCCTGGGTATCAAGCCCCATATGTCTTGGCCTAACCTAACGTCTTCCTTTCATGATCCTTTAGTTAATATTTTCTGGCTAGTCTCAGTTGTCAAGTCAGTTCTGGTGGATTACTGCTTGTACACATATATTAAGTGTACATACATGAATGTAGTGGGTGTTGAGTATAGTGAGTGGATTAGCAGAGGTCTCTAAAAACATGGACATTCTACTGAAATTGTCTCAAAGGTGCACAGTTTCCTGTTCCCGAGAACAAATTCACGTTGTGAGTGATCATGATCTTTCCCATAGGGACACATGATACCCAAGCTCTTTACTTCAGTGCATGCTCCAGAAAAAGTAGCAGGGGTAATTCTAAGAGTGTACAAACAGTAACTTTGGAGTGTGCATACCGTGTGGCATCATTGTGCTGCAAATAATTATTTTAAGTGTCTATTACAAAAAGAGCCTGAATGCAAAGATTGCTTTGCTGATGCCATTTAGAGTTCATCATTTATCCACTGGCAAAATAATGATATCTTCCACCAACTGACACAGCAACTCCAATTGTAATATGAATTTTGGAAAAGCACAGCTACACTTTAAAAAAAATCAAGCTGCTGTTGTAAAGCAAGAACTTATTTTCTTAAAAAAATCTTATCCTAGGATGTGTGACACGGGAGAAGGGCTGTTCACCTTTCAGACAAGGGAAGGGGAGATGATCTATCAGAAGGTCCATTCTGCAACGCTGGCCATAGCTGAGCAACATGAAAGACTGGTGATGGAGATGGAACAGAAAGCACGGGTAAGGACCTTTGTTTAGTAACGTAAAGGCATTTGTTGCATTAGAAAGGAAATAACTGTGAGATCAATCAAAATGCAGAATCAGTTAAGAAACTTAACACCATGACTGCATTAACAGAATATAGAAAAAATTGATGGTGACATAAGTTATTTTATCTCAAATTTATCATAAGAATCTATACTTTAGACATAGAGAGAGCCCTCCTTAAGTGCATGAAAGCAAGTGTGCAAACCAGGAAAACATTAGTATTTCTCTTTATATTGCATACACATATACCAGGCTACATTTCAAAGTGGTTTTGAAGCACTCCTAGTTTAAAAAGTATCTGAGGGTATGATACTAATGGGCAGGGCCGGCTCACTCACTTGGCGAACTATGCGTTTGCCTAGAGTCCGCCAGCCCTTAGGGGCGCCAAACTGTACCCGCCCGCCCCCCTGCCAAAAGCCCCTCCGCCCCCGCCAAAAGCCCTGCAATTCCCTGACCCTTGGAGACTCCAAGGCGAGGGAGGCTCCGAGAGGCACTTCGCCCCTACCCACCTGCCTGCCTCTGTGGAGCGACCCTGACGGGCTTCCCAGGTGGCCTCCCTCTTCTCCCCGTCCTCCTAACCCGGGCTGAGCCTGCTGGGCTCTGGAGCTCGGCCCAACCTGCGCTGGCTGTAGCCCACCTCGGGGAGAGTGGAGCCCCCCACAGCAGCAGGCAACGCCGCCACTGCTTCTCCTCTGTGGGATCCCAGGGAAGGCAGCTACTTCCATTGTAGCCCCCCCCCTTCAACAGCGTTTGCACCCCTGGTTTTCTCCTGTGTTGCAGGGGGCTTCCCTTTCCCCAGCCACTTCTCTTCCCTCTCAGCAGCATGGGTTTTTTTTAAGAAACTTTTGTTTACTAGTTTGGGGATGGATCGGCAGTCAGGGAACCTAAACACTAGCCTAAGCCCCGCCTCCAGCTCCCATTAGCCCTCAGTCAGCCTCGGAGGAGTTGGAGGTAGCACGTGCTGCTTCTCCCGCCATCAGCCAGAAGAGTAAGTTGGTCGGGGTGTAAGGAGCATGGGCTTGTTTCAGGTGGGGTGGGGTGAGAGGAAGCCCAGAGCTGCACCCACCCACCCACCCTGGAGAAAGCAAGCTTCAGGAACTCTTGTGCTGCATGGAACACCTTGCTC